TATATATATAAAACATCTTTTTTTACATCTTTTTCTCTTTTTCTCAAATTTTCTATGTTTTATTAGATAATGTATGTGCCATTATAATTACTTACCGTTTCCATAATTTTTACAATATGATTTAAAGTATATAAAACATCTTTTTTTACATATACATTTCTTTTTCTCAAATTTTCTATGTTTTATTAGATAATGTATGTGCCATTATAATTACTTACCGTTTCCATAATTTTTACAATTCCCGGTAATGATTTAAAAAATTCTATATGTATGCATGTGCAACATCTGAAATAGCAGCAACTGACACCACCCGCGCCGTGCGTACCAGAAGATGACATCCTGAGAGGAGAGATAACCGGTCCAGCATTATTTATATACATGATTCTATATTGCGAACAATTATTTTAATGTTCGTTTCTGTATTTAAATCGCAACGCTCATTAAACCATCTTGTTTATATAAATCGGCATTTTTTATTAATCCTTTTACTCATTTTCAATATTTATATGTTTTCTCTTTTCTCTCCCCCCTTTCTTTCTCTCTCTCCCTTCCTCTTTCTAAAAAAAATGATTTATCATTAGAATATTAAAATTGTTTACTTTTATTTATAAAATAATTTTTTTAGATAAGTCTTATTGTAAATATTAAACCATATTTCACACACAATAAATTTCATACATAATAAAGTATATATTTTTATTAAATACAAAGACAATTTAAAAAATTAAATCTGGAGTTAAATTAAATTTAAAAATGTAAAAAGCCGATTAATGAAAAGTTTTCGACATTTTAAAAAATGATTTAAAAATAATATATGTACTTAAAGACTTAAATATTTTTAAAATTTAATTGTAGATTTTGTGTTCTCCCTGAGAGAAATTTTTAGAAAAACACGGAGAACGACCGCGATCGACGATAGTTTTAAACAGACTGAGGATGTAGGCATCTACACAGTTTGAATGTATTGCAACCCCCCGTATAGCATTCGACACAAGGGAAATTACTATCTATTTCTGGCACATGCTACAAATTCAGAATGTTTTGTCGGCTGACTCTACAGCAAGAAGAAATATAAAGAATTCAAAAAAATAAGATAATATCTCTCATACTCGTCTTAAGATTTTATAATTTTATTTTATTTAATTGCTTCTATTTTACAACATGAGTGAACATAAGTAATCGCATTTCGCAAAATTTTACATATATTTACATGTTTATACTTTTTGTTTCCATAATCCCTTTATTGTAAATTTCAGGAAAATAATTAACATTTTAGTGTATTTTAGATACCCAAATTAAAATGAACTATTGCAATATAAATCGTAGTATAGAAAATTTTAGTATAATTTTCACTATACAAGAAGAGATAATAATAAGTGTGTACATAATGTCCCAAAATTACCAAATATTCTTTTAATAGCAAATTTTCTAGCTAATTCAGAATTAATTTTTCTTTAGCAAAAATGTCAAGAAAGATTTAAATCATCATAGAAAGATTCCTACCATATACCTTTTATAACTAACGATAAACCTCAAATTAAATTTTTATTAAAGTAAATTTTATCTAAAATTAATTATATATAAAAAAAATAATTTTGTTAACATTTTATCGCTTCATAAAATTCAATTTGTGAAAAGCCTTCCCCTTTTTCAATCGTTTATAACTTGAAAATTACTGAGATGCTCCGAAAAAATTGTACAATTACTAAATTCTTTGTTATTTTTGGAATGGACAATAGCTCGATCTAAGAAGAAAAGCAAGAATAGTAATCCTCTATAAAAAAAGTCATGTAGACGCATAAATATTATTAAATGTTATTAATATTATTTATGTAATTTCATTTCAAGAGAGAAGGACAGATACAAAGAGAGAGAGAGAGAGAAAGAAAGAAGGAGAAAAGAAAGAAGCTTTATTTAAAATTACAGAAGAACAAGAATAAGCAAAAGAGAGGGAGAAAGAGAGAGAGAACGAGAGAGAGAGAGACAGAAAGAAATGAAAAGGAGAAGGAATATAA